TCACTTTTTCTTCCTCACCATTGCAGTGCGTGAGAAAAGGAAAAGCAACTACTTGAATCATGTAAGTGACAGGTCACTCTTCACATTCTGTTTAAGTGAAAGTTTGTGCTTGAAATGAATCCGTCGTGTCTCCTCCCGCAGATGTCCCCGGGGCTCCTGACAAAAAAGTACAGTTCCTGCTCGACGATATTCCTCGACGACAGCACGGTCAGCCAGCCCAACCTCAAGAGCACGATCAAGTGGTAGGTGGCTTTACCTCCGTCTTTTAGACAGACGTTTCGGTGCGCCGAGGGAAGGAGTCGAGGCATAACAGGGAGCAGGAGCTGTTGTGTGGTGCACAAGTATGAAATCACTTCCGCTGGCTCACTGTTTGTTTGTGTCGACTTCTCTCTGTTCCAGCGTCGCATTGGCCATATACTATCACATAAAAAACAGGTAGGAAAAGTTTGGAATATTGTCACAGATTTCCCCTCTTGTAGGTGTTTAGTTAGGGAAGATGAATGTTTGAGTAGGGTTTGTTAAACCGTGTTGGCATAATAGCAAAGCCTTGGAGGTGGCTAGTCAGTCAGTCAGTCAGTCAGTTAGTTAGTTAAGGAAACACACCTTATTAAACATGGTGATAGATAGATAGTGAGATAGTTAGTAGTGGTCAGTAGAAATAAATGAATAAATATGGGATTCTGTCAACTTTTAATAGCATCAAAGCAACTTTTTGTTCATGATGTTTTAGTAAGTTGACCAGTTTGTTCGTTTAGGAAAGAGAAAAATGAATATACTGGGGTTTCATCAACCTCTAATGGTATCCTAACAACTCTTTGGTCAGTAGTCAGTCAGTTTGTAAGCTGGTTTAGTACGTTAATTGGCATCACAGCAACTTTTTGCTGATGGCCAGCAGTCAGTCAGTCGTTCAGTTAGGAACCAGAGTGTTCAGCCTCCTGTCATCATAGCAGCTGGAGCTCACAGGGGCCTTAAGTGAACACAAATAATGTCACAAATAAATCCAATAATAACTTTTAAGTGGTCAGTGGTTGTTCAGTCTTGCTTGTAGTGTTGAAATTCCACGTGGGTTCAGGCCGTAGAGAGACAATGACCTCTAACACCGTTACACCCCCCAAAGATAACTGATGGTAATTTTATACAACGGGACTAAAATCCCCAAATCTGCACTTTTAACATTTGCTCGTTAATGTTCCTGCAGAGACTCAAACCGCTCGCTGGATATATTCGATGAGAAGAAGCACCCTCTAACGGTGAGTTGAGGAGTTTGATTACACGCAGCAGCGATATGTACTGTCCGCTCTGTGCTGATTGACCAACGATGACCGCCCTCTGCCCAACAGCGAGAAAAGGTCCCAGATGACTACTCGGTGGTAGACCCGGAACACAAGCTCATCTACCGCTTCATACGAACGCTCTTCAGCTCCGCGCAGCTCACTGCTGAGTGCGCCATCGTCACTCTGGTAAGTTTTTCAACACCAGATTTACATTACAAGAGTCTGAAACAGGATTATAATAATTATTCTGACCCTCTTCTGTCTATCCCTGTTATTTGAATGTATATTCCCTGTGTGTTAGGTCTACCTGGAAAGGCTGTTGACGTACGCTGAGATGGACATCTGCCCTTGTAACTGGAAGCGGATCGTTCTTGGCGCCATCCTGCTGGCCTCCAAGGTCTGGGATGACCAGGCCGTGTGGAATGTGGACTACTGCCAGATCCTCAAAGATATCACAGTGGAGGATATGTGAGTGTTACTTTTCATCCACGAAACAACCTGTGGCAGCCCAGTGTTGTAACTTGCGTTCTTTGACCGACCCGACTGCTTCGTCCCCACGTTCTGCAGGAACGAGATGGAGCGTCACTTCCTGGAGCTGCTCCAGTTCAACATCAACGTGCCGGCCAGCGTTTACGCCAAGTATTACTTCGACCTGCGCTCGCTGGCTGATGACAACAACCTCGGTTTCCCTCTGGAGCCGCTGAGCAACAAGCGGGCCCAGAAGCTGGAGGTGAGTTTGTGCAAGGCTGCAGTCACACCGTATGTGAAATCGTCCAAATTCAGATACTGAGTTTTTTAATCACTGAACGGATGTTTTTTTCGTCTCTAGGCCATCTCCAGGCTGTGCGAGGACAAGTACAAGGACCTGAGTAAAGCTGCTATGAGGAGGTCTATCAGTGCAGACAACCTGGTTGGCATCAAGAACTCCCAGGCTGTGCTGTCTTAGGCTTTGCGACAGCCATCTTAGATCCAGCGAGGAGGCTTAGAGTGAAGCTACAGTCAAATAACATTTGCCAAGAGACATTTCCAAAGTAGATTAATATCAGTGAAGTTCCATTGCAAAATGTTAAATATCAACTTTGGAATAGCATAAGTTTACCATACAATATCTCTAAAATACAATGAATCCAGTCTCTATGTGTTCATTACAAAGTACTTAAGCTATCTGCGTTTACAGCATGGTAATTTGATGAAATATTTTGCAGATTGTCACTTTTTTTTCTCTCCAAATGGTGGATGTGTAACCTTGGAAGGAATCTGCATGAAAATGCTTCCTGAAGTCAAACAAACTGAGGACCTCAACATCTTCTCCTTCTTCTTCTTCTTCTTCTTCTTCATTTTTTACATCAGCAGATCTTTCGGGGAGTAATTTCTCTGGCTTCGGCCCTCGTCTCTCCACCAGCTGTGTCCCCACTCCTTTATTCACATGATTACAAACTGTCTTGAACTACCCTGTGGTGTAGTTCTGCACATGGACAAAGACTAGACTTTGTTTTGCTTACTATGTAGGCCCCTATAGCTGTGAAATGTACGAGACTTTATTTAATTCAAATAAATTTCAGTGGCTGTTTAAAGTTGAGGCTGCTTAGGTGGGAAAATGTGTCGTGGTGGTTTTTTATTTGTGGGAACATGCATTTTCTCACCCAGTACTGATTCCAACGTGAGATTACAGATAGTTGGGACTTAATGTAACTCAAAGTGGAAATACTGACCATTTCAGTGAGAGTAACAATTATAGAGGTCAAATTCTCCATATGGTAGATAAGTGCATCGCTCTTAAAAATAATCACTATAATTGGATTGCATTCAAAGAAATCTTTAACCATTTAAATCAAATTATAAGCACTTTCAGTCATTCATTAAAAAAAAAAAAGACCTCAGAAAAATACACAACTGATCTGATGTGAGGCAAAAATATAGGTCAACAAGAAAAGGCAAAAACAGTTCTGGTTTTAATCACAACACCAAGGGTTTAATGTTGAGTTTAATAAAATGTCAAATTCTAAAAAAGGGAAATTTATGCAATCTCGGTTTTATTTAACCGAACATTTAGACGAAAGACCTGAGCACCGCTTTGATTTTTCACAGCTGTTCATTGATTGATTTAAAGTTGAAATTAAATGACAAACAAAGACAACATATGCATATTCAGTGTTCGGGGTGTATATTTGATGTTTAAATTAGACAATTAGCCTGCACTATTGGAGTTTATTTATTCTCAGGATATTTTCTGGTAGTTTTTGTGACTTTTATTTTAGAGATTTTTTCCTCTTTTAATTAGGGGAGGAAATGTGGTTTTGCAGAATATAAAGGAAACTTATATCATGTTAACAGCAATAAATTCCATGGATCTCTTTTTAAATTACACTGACACCTTTTTCTACAACCATAGGTGCCACGTATCCTGGCAACCACTGTTTCATTCTTGTTCCCCCCCCTCCCCACTTTATATCAGAGACCTTTAGTGTCTGCTCAAAGTCTTTCTGTCCATAAGCAGAACCATGCAAAACACGCATCTGAACTCCTCTCTCTCCAATTCGTCCAACATGACAGCTACTTGTGACTGGAATCAACCGGTCGATAAAGCGTCCAGTGTATTTCTCTGGGACTTTTCTGAGAGAACTTTCTTAGCATTTTTTCTTGTATTTCTTGGCTGTGTCCTTTTCTCATCTACAGCAAATGGATTTCTCTTTTATTTGACGGTAAGATATAAGCAGCTTTTGTTGCAACCACAGTACATTCTGATAAACAATATATCAGCTTGTGGTGTTGGGATAAGTTTTGTAACTGCTTTGTTCGTATTGTCTTCTATAGTGAGTAAACAGACTCCTACTTATGGATACTGGTGCATAGCACAGTTTTGTATTTTGCGTTGTTTTTTCCTCATGTCCCAGATGACTTTGGCTCTAATGGCTCTAGAACGCTACATATTCATTTGTCATGGCATCCACTACCTCAGGATGATCAATACCTGCAATGTTCGCATTAGCATTGGACTCGTTTGGCTGCTCAGCGGGGCAGTGAGCCTTCATGGAGGGTTTGTGCTGAGCCAGACTCAGTGTGGCTTCCAACAGCAAACTTGTGGGCTCCTGTGTGATGGTTTTACCATCAAGGGACACATCACATTTTCCTGGGAAGACGGCATGCTGGTGTTTGGGCCCCCATCTTTCATAACAACTTTCTGCGTTTTGGTCATCTGCTACTGCTATGGGTGCATGTATCACGCAGCACTCAGGGTGAGCATGGCTCTTAAGTGTAATAACCACAGAGCCAACCGCACTGTGGGATTCTACTTGTTGATGTTTCTGCTGCAGCTGGCACTGAACGTCTCTTTTATCCTCCTTACAATGATGAGAAAGAGCAAAGCATCCTCCTGCAGGACGATCGGTTCCATAGTGACACCAATAATAATAATCATACCTTCATGCCTCTATGCAGCTTTCTTTCTTATCCGGAACCCGCAGATTAAGAGGCTACTCCTTTCTGGATACCAACCGAAATGCAGGTCTACAATCAGGTCAGAGGTGATGTTTCAGCAGAACAGGGGGGCTGATGGGTTAGGAGAGCGTACATGTTCGGTTGAGCACGGAAGGCAAGTGGAGAGGGAGAACAGCGCGACTACACCTCCTCTAACTGGCAATGGTTTTTCCGTTATTTCTGAGGACTCCTAATATTCTCAGACCACTGACTGTTTTCAGATGCCTCCATGGTCCCTGGAGCAGAACCAGACGCTGCTCCAGTAACTACAGTATTGTTCACATTTCTACAAAGCTCATGTAGCACAATTTGCCTAATTACTTTAATCAACAATGTATATATTCAGATGTGTAGAACGGTCCATCGTTTAGATACATTTACAACTGTGGTAATAGACTGTGTTATATGTTGCGGTGTATAACTTATTAATGTGACAGCAAGGCTGTTATTCTTTCTATGGTGTATATATGCCCAAGTCTAGAAGATTTATATAAGGTGGTAAATTCATTAGAGAAGACACAGTGTGCTAAATCTATTTTGTACTCATTGTTATTGGTTACAGTATAACCCCTAAGGTTTAAGGTAAAATATGATCTAATAGTTCCCTTTGTACACAATGTTATTTGTCATCAGTTGTACTGTTTTTTTTGTCAATGTTACACGGGTAAATTGAAGTTGATTGTATTTCCCTCAGATACTTATACATGATTAAACCTATTTGTTGGTTGATGTACTGTATTTATAATGGCATATATAGAGATGATAATATCTGCTCCCTACCTGTTAGTAATGGGATGCTTCATAAACTCTGCAGTTGGATATTGGACTTCCTCACAAACAGACCCCAGACAGTTTGGTTACCACCCAACAGCTTCATTTTTTTTTGGCTTGAATTTCATTATACATGTTGTAAAGTGACCTTTAAATAAACTTGTAACCTTGATATAAATGAATTCGATACAATATTTGTAAATTGAAAACTCTCTTTATAGCTGAAGTGCTCGATCTGTACCAATTAATAATGTCATGTTTCCTCTTTTCTTAACCTCAAATACTTAGTAGTAGTATACATCCTTGGGGAACAGTTTGCCTCCTTCCTTTTTATTTTTACAGCTGCAGCTGATCCAAACTGAGGGGTTGCTCGTTGCAGAAATGTAGTACCCACTTGTGGCCACAGAGCGGCAGTGCTGTAGTGTGTAAGACAGCGGGTCAGACTGCAGGTGTTAGATTAGTGTGTTAATGCGACATCCTCCCGACTCTCCCGAGCTCTGGTGCAGCTTGCTTCTATCATTGCCAGACTGGAGGATGGAGGTAAACACGACCAGGCCTGTTTCATCTGCGCTTTTAAAATCCTCAGGATGATGAATTACTGAACATTATTTGTCACATAATGCTGAAATGGCAACCGTGGTTCCGATAAAAGGACATGTTAGATATTACCTTTTCAAAAATAAATATTTTTCTAGAATGCAACATTTCCGTTGGAAAAAAAAAGACACAATGGAAAAGTCAGTGTTAATTAGATAATCCCATGGAAATCTATTGGTGAAGGTCTTAATAAAACTAAATGAGTGCAGGTTTGTTTATGAGATAATTCAGTCACTCTATAATATGTGTATCACCCTCAGTGTAATAAACATTTGAATTGTGTAAAGCTCATATCAGCACAGGTACATGAAAACTGTCATTATCTGAAATGAATAGTGTGTGTGCATATATGCCTGTGACTGTGAGTGTGTGTATCCTGTAGGGATCACAGTGCCAGTGCAGCTTCATTAATCTCTCAGCATCATGGGACTTGTCTGAACTCTAAAAGAGGGCTAGAGAGAACAAGCGTCACTCCGTTTACCCTCCACACGCTCAGGTCACTCCTCATATCACACACTCTTCAACTGTACAATGTCAAACCCTCCAGTAGGCCTGAGAACACAGAACTGCTGCTGCTGATATGCACAGAATGTGTGTGATATGCATATTTGTGTGTGCATATTTGTGTCCGTCCGTGCGTGAAGAGTGATAGAGAGGTGAGAGGTGTGTATTAGACAGTGAGACTTTTTTCACAGTATGTGGGTTATACTGAATATGTTTCATGATTTCCTCAAGTAGCAAAAGCCAAAACTGTGCCATGACTGTATCATACATATTTATTTGCCCTCAATAATGCATAGGAAAGCACATATACTGATTACATTACAAAACATACTGCTATAAATATCTCAAGACTTTCACATAGAGATTCACACTATACATTTTCAGTAAAACAGATTTGAGTTACACCAACATGACGATGTTTTTCAATGCCACCCTGCTCCAAAACAATGAAAGGAAATACATGATTTTCTTTAGCAGCTTTGAACATGATAGCTGACAAAGTGGGATCCTGAGGAATACATCAGTAGCTGCAGTAGTGCTGGAATCAGTCATGATCCAGTCAAACATAATCAAGTCACCTGTTTTCCCTTTTTAAGCACTGCACTCTGCACCACAAAATCGTCCCGAGTGGATTAACCACAAAAGCTTCTCCCAACAGAAAAGCGGTTTCCCTGTGTGGATGATGAATGAGAAAATAAATGGCATTTATAATTAAATTAGCCTGGGAGGATGTAACACGTTTGGCTTTCATGCTGTTCTGATCCACCAGCTTGTCCCTGAAAAGGCACCTCCGCGATTCTCACTTGGTGTATACTGACAGCTTTGTTGAATGACATCATTTAGACCATAGCTGCATGTGGTTAGACTATAAAATGTTAGTTACCGACACAGTTGGGTCCAAATCGTATTTAGTGTAATTGGTTCTGTAAAGTCCTATTCTATTGCTATGCGGATGACAGCCAGATCTATGTCCCCCTCAAAAAGTCTGATTCCTACTCTGTTGACCCACTG